GTTGTGTGTCGTGTGTATGTGTTTGTGTATGTATGTGTGTGTATGTGTTTGTGTATGTAAGTGTGTGTGTGTGTGTGTGTGTGCGTGTGTATGTGTGTGTAGGTGTGTGTGTGTATAATTCTGTATGCGAACGCTCATACATAGAACACCAGTGTCTATAATATGCTACGTATAAGCTAACTCATATGAAATGTCAATAGTCAGGTAGAAAACCAAAGCACAGCGTAATGGCGGTGGATGAGACAAAACTATTGTCTTCAATTCATGCACATATATCGAGGTGGTTTAATCTAAAGTATAGTAAAAAGCATACGTCCTTTATATATTTTGAATGAAGATCGTGTACCAATATAAGCTTATGTTTCGCAAACATACATGTTTGTATATATTGTACCGGCCTCTCATATGTAACTGATATGCTTATGTAGCTAACTATACGAACGTATTAGCGGCTAATTATACACCAGAATTCCAGTTTAACCAGAGGCGTGTCTTGGCTAGACGATTTATGCTCAGGTGATAGTATAGAAGCCTTCTACAACTCTCGTAAGCATTCATTGAGAGAAGAATACGATCAGTTTCCCAGGCCATCGACTTGAATCCAAATCGTATTTGCCATACCTACCAATAAGATAACCTACATATTCGTTAGACCCAACCTTTCAATAACGCAACACACCTACTTAAAACAACAAGAACTTTTGATCCGTAGAGCCAGCACACTGCCACATACATACCTATCCATGGCACACGCACTATCACACACATCACACACCTCATCGTTGGGGCTCAGCAGGTCTTCGACTTTCAACTCGGGATTCGCAGCCAATAACCGTTCAACGGCCTGGCTGTTGGCAATGGAGCGAGCGTCCCCCACTTTGTCTTCCGATGCAAACAACCATGCGGTGCGTTGTACACTGTCTTGGTAACCCATGGTCGTGTTGTGTGCGAGCAATAGAGCGGTCCCTTCTTATCTCATACACCATAAGGGAATATATGTATATAAATACATATTATTTATTTTTTTGTATATTTACAGTATATTACCTTGTCAGTACCGTGTCTAATGAGAAGCCGGCACTGAGCACGGAGGGTTGTTATAAATAACAGTCTCAGTGACTCAGTGAGACTCTGTCAGGGTTATACGGTTATACATAGCCGGTTAAATATGTACTAAAAACAATTTAAATAGGTGGGGTATAATACACCGGTATTTTCAGTATGTACATTACATATGTGTTAGCAGTATATTATTTATTTCTAAATATTCCGGAATTATTCTACAGGACTCCAGGGGGGTCTACAAATAGGCAAAAAGCAATACGGACAGATTTTGAAAATCGGCGATAAAGTGATGAGTAATGTTTTCTTTTTTTAACAAAAGGAGTGATACAGAAAATCATAGCCTTCTAAACTTTAAAGCTAACTTTTGAACTAAGTTAGCTAGGGGAGTACATCCAACGAGAGATCGTCTTTATATTACATGTTCTTTAATTCTCTACCTTTCGATTGGTGGAAATGTGCAATACCGGACTACTTGCCTGTACTCAAAAATTAATGCACACTGGGTCATTTGTTTTTCTCGCAGAAGTGGCTCTTAAACAAAAGGAGTGATACAAAAAATTGTTTAATTTAGACGGCTACGAAAAATATTGTTTTTTTACTTTTTGTTTTTAAAAAACAACAAAACATAAACCATAGCCGAACACTAAAATACCATACTTATTTTTGAAAATAGCCAACAACTGATAAATAATCATCTTTTTAGCTGAACACTAAAATATCATATCTTTTTTAAAAACAAAACCCGGAACACGTTTTGTTTTTAAAAAACACAACAATCAAAAACAACGAACCAAAACATGGAAAACAAAAACAAATTAACGAAACAATAACAAAAACAACAAAATCAAATGTTGATTGAATAAATACCTTTGAGATCCATCTGTGGCAATTCCTGTGCTGGTGCATATGGAGTCATTTTTTTTTATATTTTTATACAAATACTCGTTCGCTGACATCTGACATCTCACATCTTCCTCAGGGTCACAGCCTACAAGAGAGAGAGAAAAATCATATAAATATAAAATTCCTTTTGAGTCTTAGAGTTTCAGTGTACCGCGAGACGCGAATGTAATATTTACATCGACAACTGTAGTTTTAAAAAATTATTTAGTGTACATCTGATGATACCATATTTTTTAAATAGTGACACATACACTTTTAGTAAATACAATCAGTACGTGATGATATTAGTTTTCTATTCTATTTTTTTTTAAGATAAATAATCTGTGCCACAACCAGTGAGCCAAATGCTCGGGCTAATATTTATGTGCTGTGTATCTTGCCGCAGAGATATCACTTGCGATCTGAATAGCTATTCTTTGAACGCAAATGAGGACCATGAGGAAAAAGGTGTTGTTGTATTAAATCAAATTGAGTATCCGGTCGATCCCTGGGCATTGAACAACCTCCTGTTTCGTACAAATTAAATATATTAATATTATGTATATATATAAATCTACCAAAAAAGGTGTAAGGACAACTCACTTGTGCACTTAAAATAATATAATATTTGTTTTTCAACAATCATGTGGTCTATAGTACTCTCCTGTGGATTGTTGAGTTTGTTTGACTATGTGTCTGCTACTGTTAGCTACACATCAAACGCTGACAGAGTGTTGAATAGTATGCTTCTACAACTAGATCCACATACCGACTCGGAAACAGTGCGCATGCATATGGTACAAGTGGAAGCAATGGGCAACAACTACGCTAAACCAACGATGTACAAGGTGAGCAACTTCACCGCATATTACTTGCACGGTAAGTTGCTAAATTCTTTTTTGAAAACTCTATACAGTTATATTCCAAATTCGCAAATTTGATACTAAAATATAGACAGATCTTTACATGAAGGTTCACATGAGATATGAGACGCATACAATTAATATTGTGACCTGAAAACTCAAACTGCACACCTATCGCAATTAAAGTCTACTCTCGATTGAACATCCTTAAGAATATCCGAAACTGATATGGAGCATATCGCGAGTCTACCAGAGGTGACGGAGATGGACTATATCATGGGACACGGTGTATTTTGCGATACTTGTACTACTCTGGTAAGAAGGCCGAGCTTTTTTATATCTCTATGTAGATCGATATACTACTATTATTTCAAAGTTCGTCTAATTCGATTTTGCAGATTTCTGTTGCTCGCATTATACCGACATCAAATGTTCAGACTACACGCGGCGAGACTTTCCTGTGGAATCTGGAAAGAGTTACAAAACAGTCCCGAGCCTTTGATGGTCAGTATATGACACTTTTGAGCGACAGCGGAGACACGAATGTGGACCTCTACGTTATAGACACTGGAATCGATATAACGCATACTAATTTTGACGGCCGTGCATCGTTCGGAGATAATTTTACTGGCAAAATGGCTGTACTCAATGGCGATGGTAAGTTGTACTGGAGGCTGGTGCACGCCATTTATATCTTGCCTTGCGTTGTGATCTTGAAATGGGGTTTGCGAAGTTATTTTATCTTAAAATCGAAAGATTAGTAGATTGCGAATCCCAAGCACTTACGCTCTTACGCCATATATGCTCTCATTTTAAAAACATATGTTTCTATTTTCGCAACCACAGGCACAAGTGTTGCCGGCTATGCAATGTCAAGGTACAATATTATGTAGTCAATTTTTGTTTGTCTGAGTTTGTAGTACAAAAAATATAATATTTATGAAATATAAGTCTAATGATTACATATATACCATTCCTATCTCTGGGTGCTGTGGACCGCAACAGAAAATTTGGAGTGGAAAAGCAAGGAAACGCAATTTCTGTAAAGGCTCTAGCGGGTGAACAAGGCATAGGGAATTCTCGAATCACCATGGATGCATTTCAATATGTAGTTGATCAAGTCAATTGGCGGGGCAATAACAGGCGGACAGGTAGGTTGATTCTTCTACCGCAACAGAAAATTTGGAGTGGCAAAGCAAGGAAACGCAATTTCTGTAAAGGCTCTAGCGGGTGAACAAGGCATAGGGAATTCTCGAATCACCATGGATGCATTCCAATATGTAGTTGATCAAGTCAATTGGCGGGGCAATAACAGGCGGACAGGTAGGTTGATTCTTCTCAGTGGTATATATCTATTTGGAAATACATGGGCTACCCATGTATATGTGCTGGGCTCTGTTGCAGGCCGAGTCACCCGCTAGTAATTATCAAGTTCAGAACGAGTTTTTTATTGTATGTCTTTATTGAAAATCGTTTAATAAGCTATAGGTGGCTTATTCCACTGCCAATGATATCTCATTAATTTCGATGTCATTTTCCCACCGTACAGTTGTCAACATGAGTCTTGGCGGAGGTCGGAGTACTGTTTTCAACTACTTTGTCAATGCGATTGTATCACATCTGAACACAGTTGTTGTAGTCGCTGCTGGAAATGAGAATCGGGATGCCTGTAATGTTTCACCCGCAAGTGCGGAGTTGGCCATAACCGTAAGTGTAAACATGTCTATAACTTGTGTAGTAAGTGGATCGAAGTTGTACAGCTTTTAATTGTGATATTCACTGCCACGAGATTTTATTTGCGGATGTCTGCCCCATAAGTAAATCAAAACATTTTTAAAATCTATTAATACTAAATGTGAAAACTATGTCTTATTGAAGGTGGGTGCATTCACTATCACGGATTCTCGGGCTTCATTCAGCAACTTTGGGTCCTGTGTTGACATATTTGCACCTGGCCAGAGCATTCGAAGCGTTACTCTAAACAACCGCGATCAGTTGGTATGCAAAAACCTAAAACGGCGGTATTCTGCATATTGTTGATACACTAGTCATGTCTCGTACGTCATTGCATTGGCTGCTCTTATGTCTGTCTCATTTTCTAAATTTGGCTGTTCAACCCCATTAAAGGATTTGGCTGCTCAATCCCATCAAAGGATTTGGCTGATGAAACACATTAAAGGATTTGACTGTTCCATAAAAGGATTTGACTGTT